CGCGGCTGGGCTTATTAGCCGTGGGCTTAATAACCGGCGACTACTGTATTAAACTGGTACTGGTCTTTCAATGGTAGCACTTATAATTGATGGCGCAAACATATTTCCACTTAGACTTTGGCAGGGTGGGCTTTTTAGGATGATTATAGTTAACATTATTTGAAATTGCTCCTTGCGGGGTCTAGCTATTTAGTTTACGCAAACACTTGCTAGTTTTGTAGGTAAGGTCCTGATTCAGCAGCCCTGGGCAGAATTTTTCTTCGTTGCATTATCTCTAAATGCTTAATTGCTTCCAACGGAGTTTGTATTTGTTTGGCTGGCCGAATCTGTCAAAGGAGTTGGGAGCTGAGGTGGCCTTTCCTGAAGCGCCTACTAAAAGTCTGCTTACACAATTCACATAGTAGAATTAGTTCTCCTAACCGACTATTGCACAAGTATTTTATATGAGGCCTGCCGCTGATCGTCGGACTTTATTGAATCGTATTTGCAGGTAGAGTTGACTTTCCAGTCGTATCTTCCGCAACCTTTATTAGAGTGCTCTTTAGACATACACACTTTTGGCGTTATTAATAATCCTACCTGGCTAGAGTCTTAACCCCGCGTTAATGGGAATGGGTCGTTGTGGTTAAGGGACCAAGCAGTTTGAGACTCAATTAGTTGCCTCTTACGAGGGTTTTGCCCTTTTTAACTTGAAGTTATCACCTAACTGTATCAGGCAGGCTGCGATTTCTGAATCACTGTCTTCCTTTCTAACTTCTAATAATAGTTTGGCAATCCTTAATTGCAGTTTGTCATGCTCAAAACTCTAGAAGACTCTTACCAAACCGTTCCCTTGCAATTGGTTTGGCAGATGAACGCTTCCGCTATTTTGGCGGCTGATACGTGTGTTTTTGCAGTCGCTAGTGCCCAAGATCGTGGAGGCACTTAACGGTGGGGAGTTCTTTGTTTCGGAATCTTTGTTAATGTGCTGTGAGAAGAATCGGTTCCGTTAAGCGTGCCACTGGCCAAGACGTCTGCCGTGCGTTTGGTTTTGCCGACTTTTTTGTTGTTTTTGGCCTGACGTAATCTGTCATCATTCCCGTCTTAAATTGCCGCCTCATTTTAGCTCGCTCTGCCATGCCTACTATCAAGGGATCGCCCTCCATTGGTCCGCTGAAGGACGCCTACCAGGAGGAGCTTCTTGGCTTCTTGGATTCTCGAGAGGGTCCAAAGGTAAGCTCTTTGATGATAATATTGGATCAAAACCTAACTCTTCAGGCAATCTACTGGCAACGTGCGGCAATTGCCCCAGTCAACCTAATCGTTGGCCATTCGGTTTTAAAAGTACGCGTTCTGTTGCCACTTTGTTGACCGCTTTTAGGAACATGGAGTTTGCCATTCCTTCATGATTGACGCCCAGGAATTCTGTCCTCCCCCACCTACTGTAAAAACGGTGTTCTTTGTCTTGCACTCAGATTTGAAGGTTGTAGATATAGTGAGAAATTTTCTCAAGCAGTAGGTTCTCCCTCTGTTAACCACCATCTTGCTCAGAGAGTCTTCCGTAAAAAACAGTCCTCCACCCAGAGACTATTGCATTATCGCCATCCCCAGTTTCTCCCTCGTTTGCCGAACTTTCCTCAAGGAGATGCAAGTATACGATAAGCTGGCGGCCATCTACGAACTGCCATTGACGCTACTGCCCATTGACACTGATCTGCTCTCGATGGAAGACCCCGAATGTTTTGCAGTAAGCTGTACAGCCGCTTGCTCACCGGTTCATTTTTCAGGACTTCGCTCTGCGAGATAAGGAGACCTGTCTTTTCAATCTCGCCCGCGGGCTGATTAAATTTCAGGCCGTCTTCGGCCTTTTCCCTCGTATACGCGCCAAGGGCCCAAAGGCAAAGGTAGGTTGTTCTAAGACTTCGTTGTTCTTAATTCATTTGCCGCGAACACTGCGGAGCACACCTTGTCCACGGTGTAGGTGCAGTGGTGACTTGCTCATGACTTTATATTTAGCGAATCAGACTGGTTGCATCCACTTCATATAACTCTTCCTACGCCAGCCGTTTTCCGATAGCAAACCAGAGTCATGACGACTGGAACTGGGTTCGGTGTCTGCCTGGCTCTACGTCTGCAAAGAAGAGCAGCTAACCAGTAAAGAGCTTTCAGGCTCTTGCGGAAGCCCAACGCCCGAGACAGTGAAATAGAAAATACAAATCTGCCGCATTTTGCAGTTTTTCGCCCTGCGCCGACCACCTTAGATGTCGGATGGAAACAGAAGTGCACTATCTCGTTTTATTGAACGTACAACGAATACCGTATATAGATAATCAATACTTTAGTGTACGGAGCTGCTGATATGCTATCAGTCGGTCAATTATTGGCGTGCCAGCAAAGTTAGCTTTGTGGTCTTCCTTCGGGGCCCGCGTACTTTTGAAAGGAGTCGTCTGGCCTGTTGTGGCAGGGAGTCTGATAAGCGCCATCCGACTTTCCGTGTGCGTTCGGTAGGTCCCCCATCCGTATTTCACTTGTACCAGCGGTAGCTACCGGATGATGGACGATACCCACGTCACTTTTTTCTGTCACCCCAACAGGGACTATCGAGGCGTTGATGGGTCACTCCTGTTTGTCCTTTGG